CCAAAACAACAAAATAGAGTAATTCAGTCTGACAACCTTAGAATTTCTTCACTTGCATCTGTAGTTCTCTAAATATGGATAGAAAACACTCTTCCACAAGGACAAACATGAATAGAGAAAACCCAGTTAATTCCAAAGAAGTCTAAGCTCAATGGAAGATATCTAACACCACTGTGGGCTTGCAATGCATGATCTGGAAAGTCTGCCCAGAGATCTGTTCCAGTAATTAATTATTTAATTAATGTAATGAACATCTACCTTTGTCAATATTTACAGCAGTTGTTCTTTTGGGGTCTTAAACAATATTTTTGCTGTAAAATGTTCTGAAATTAATTCACCATCAACTCCTGTATGCAGCCGCACCCCTTACAGCTGTGGGAAGAAGGGCCTATCTCCTGATTTCCAGAAGAAATGAGTCAATATAAATCCAATTAAAACCAGCTGGATTTTTTGGGAGACACCGGGGATGTACCCCTGTGAAAGAATGAAATTTGTGAACATTTTTTTCCTTTGAATTGTACCATCCAACCCAGCAAACAAACAAAATATATTTCACATATAATATGTTTCACACAAACATATTTATATATATATATATATATATATATTTAATATTTGAGCATTTATCCTAAATTCTCTTAATTCTCCATGGCAGTCACACCTTGGAAAGAATGGTAGGGAAGGCCACTGACCTCAAATCTTTGACAGTGAATGATTTCTACAAAGAAATGTCACCGTTAAAGCAGAGTGCCCCATCAATGAATAAGTCAAAAAAGCCATAAAATTTAAAAGAAAAATTACATTTTTATGAGAAAGAAGGCTTTCTCCCAACAAAAGAGGARAAAAGGCAAGAGAACAGAGAGAGTAGGAAGAGCCACTTAGTCCACAAGTGTTTACTAAATCTAAAACCTGCAATGGAGGCTCAGCAGCCATGGGAGATGTTAAGACAAGAGAGTGATTTTTTATCATTTTCAAAGGATCTGCAACACAAAGGACGAGTTAGAATGAGAGGCCTAAAGTAAAGTAATTGTTTTGCTTGCCTTAATAAAGTCATGGAGCAGCAAATGTCTAAAGTAAAGTAAAGCATTAAAAAAAGCTCATAGATGCAATTAGAAAAATTCACTGCAGAGCAGAGATTTTTTCTGTCAGGAAGAGGATCAGGTAAGATGGAACCCAACATGGGAAACATGGGATTAAGAGTGAAATTGCAGGGTCTTGCAATCTTGTGAGGTCCAACAGCTGAGTTTGCGTAAGAGAATCATATCCATCCCAAAACCTGATTTGGATCTGTGTGAAAATCAGAGTATCTTCAAACACACCTTSTATCGTCAGGTGGCAATGTCAGAGATCAAGATTAGAGGTAAAATAATCAATAATCAACAGGTTTTATCACCATGGATTTGAATTCAGGAAAAATCCTGTTACACTACTTCAGCCCTGATAAGAAATCAGATGGGCAGGAATAGGTAATAACCACAGAATTTATTTTGCTACCAACTTTTTAATATCTTCACCCCAAAATAACCAGCAGAAGTGGCACCGTTAGAACACAGCTGAAGAATGGACTTCATAAAGAGAATTTTATGAAAAGGGCTGTCCCATCAGGAAGCATTAAATGCTATTAACCAGTCCCAAAAGTAATGAATGTAGTAGCCAGGAGGGGTAGAGGTTTTAATGACTTACAGTTTGTAGGTCAACCTTCCTTAGTGCCTCAGCGCCAATCTGCTGAGACTCAGTGAGTGAAAACGCTATTATAATGGGGTTGGAAATGTGTTTGACTCTCAGCAGGGAAGCATCTGAGCCCACTTCTAAGCAAAAGTAACTTAAATTCATCAAAGTAATTTCATGGCTGGAATTCTTCAGATCTGTGACAGAGAAAAGGCAGATTTCTCCAAAAACACATTGATGATAAGAGGTGATAACATGAGGGTTAAAAAGTGAAGGCTTCCCTAAGGACAATATATAATCAAATATCAAGCCATAGAAAACAATTAAAACAATTTACATTTTCATCTAATGGCCTCATCCATTCTGTATTCAGCTACTCAAATATGAATGAAACTACAACAGCACCACAAAAATCAGTTCCTGCAGTCAAACTGCAATTTTACTTTTTCAAGTTGAAAAAAAAAATTAGAGTATAAACAAAATGCTGTAGAAATCCTTGGCTTTGCTTAATGTAATCATCCAAAAAGCACACAAATCATCTACTGCAGCCTAAATTAATTTTTTTAGGAATATTATGCAGGTAAGATTTCTTCTTTAAACTTATTTGTTCTATTTGTATACTTAGGAGGATAAAATTTTTAAATGTATTATTACAATGAAYATTGTCTACAAAGTTCTCTCTTTTTTCCCTTTATAAACATGGAATCACTGTCAGGGTACCTCCTTYACTGAACTTCAGTTTAGATCTCAAACATGAAATCTGGCCAGCAAATTGCCACATATAAGCAAATAAAAAGGCTCTTGGAATTAACAGGATTCATGGTAGTATATCAGGAAAATTTAGGTAACGAATGATTTTTATAGAAAAAGCAAATATGAGCATAAGGGAGAAAAACTTAATCTTTGTGTTCACAGATGAAATTTAATCAAATCCTAATTTGTCCCAGAAGATGTAATATAAGCATTTGTTTTACTAATTTTTTATTAAATGAACATGACAGAGAGGGGCACTTTGTAGGCACCATGTCTCAACATAGGCCTGGGAAAATAAAGGCTGACAGAGCAATGAAAAG